GGTTATTAATATAGTTTGTTTATAAAAATTTGTATTATTATTTTAACAGACATGTCTGTATAAAAATATAATTGCGAGACTAGATACCTCTTCAATATCACTAAATTTTAGTCCAACTTGATACCTATAGCTAAAATAATATTCATATTTTTTATTATCTTCTAAAACTTGAGTATAAAAGTTTTTATTGTTTATTTCCAAAACAGTCTGCTATCCAACACATATCAGATAAAGATAAATTCTCTTTTTCAAGTCTTTCTCACTTTGCATAGTCTACTAGTTGCAAATATTAATATCATAATGCAAATAGAGAATAATAGCACTAAGAGAAATAAGCTTTATATTTAATTGAGGTCTTTTATTAATCATGTAAGTAGAGGCTTTGTATTATCATTTTCAAAAAAGTAAATAATAAGATCTGATGAAAAATTAAAAATCAGATAAAAACAACTTCGTTTACTTTTATTGCTTTTTAGGATTTTTATAAATGTCTGTTTAAACTACTAGTATGTAGCATACTAATATTTCTCTTCATTTATTTTAATATGAAAAGTTTCAAATTAATAAAAAAATAGCATATCTGGAAAATAAATAGGAGTTTAAAAACTTGATTTTGTGACTCGATTTTTAAAATAAAATAAAAAAAACAAAATGTGTTTAGAGTAGGATGGGCAATATAACAAGTAATTATAGTTATTATATTATTATTATTAATTATTGCCTATTACTGTTATGATTCATAAATACAACTTAGAAGGTACGTATAATATTAGTATTTAGAATTTTAATAAAAATAAAATTCTCTGAAACCTCTTCTACACTAGGTCTTATTTAAATAAAAACTTGACATAGAGATTTTTTTTTTTTTTTTGTCTGTATATTTACTGCTGTGATACATCTGTATTAGTATGTAGTATAGTACTGCATATAGTATTTCTCTGAAATAGTATCCTCTCTTTTTTTGACAAGTGATTTGTAGACAATTTTTATAATTAATAGTATGATCTTTCATCAGGTTTTATATGTCTAATAGAAGGTATATTGATCAGTAACAATTATTTGTATTATTCTCTCATTTTCCAATATTAGAATATTATTCAATCTAGGCTAGCTAATACCCAGAGGCACTATATGTAGCGCTATATAGTACTTTAATACTAACTATTGTGTAAATAGTTTTATCATGCATTAAAAATTTGAAAAATTAAAGTTTCTGTTATTATTTTACTTCTGAAAAATAACCAGAGAGCCTAGAATTTATCTTATTGTTTTTAAAATTATAATTATAAAAAAAAAAACTTTTATAATTAAATTTTGGCTTCAGATTATTGATTACTAATAAATTTACTATATCACTTATTCCCAATAATTCTTAATAATGATCTGTTAATCACTTCTGAATTACGAATTAATCAACTAAAACTACAACAATTACTCTAAATCAACTGCAACAAGAAAACATAACTTAACCTAATCAACAAAACTTTTAGAAACTTACTGATACTTTCACCCAATTAATAGTAGCTTTATTTAATATTACTACTGTCTTGATTAACAATACTAATGCTATTAATAATCCCCCCAAAAGAGAGACTCGAGTAATTGATTTA